ACGATGATGATGATGTATGTTCAGGGCTGCATTACAACATTGATTGCTCGGATCACTGGTATCTAAGTCTTCCGTTGTGCTACCTTATACTTTGTATTCAAAGGTTGGTTCTTGTTCTGGTCTGCATGTTACAGTATGCAACATGCAGACATGAAACTAACTAGTATCACACTGACAAAATAAGGCCCAAAAATTAGGAGAAGTGAATCAGCCAGAAGAACGGCCTTCCTTTTGGGTCCATGGAGGTCTCAATTGAACAGATTAAATCAGAGTACAGAGCTGGGGGTTCTCAGACAAACGTAGTAAAACAGAGGACATAGCTGGAGCCTCTCAGAGAAACAGCTTAAACATGGTACTTGCAGAGTAGCAGAATGTGAAAAGAGAGTCATTAGCAGCCAACAGACCACTAAAGAGAAAGCCCTCACATGACAGCTAGAGCAAGAGGCGTTGATTGTTGGTTTTCGGTTCGATGCATGCTATTCTGGAGCTTGCACTGGGGGTAAGGAAGCCCGACGGCGACGACACCCATTCCACTAGTGGATTTTGGGGGCAGGTTTCCTGCAGTCTCTCCTCTAACAAGCCGTGCATCCCATCGGCCAGGTTGTCGAATTGTATCCAGAAATGCTTGCTCATTAGTGCCTGTCTGTGTTGCGAGGAGCCCTGAAGCGCTGATCTGTTTGGTCTCCATTTGGAAATCGTCACTACCTATCCCTCGCAGTATAAGGCTTGGACTGATAGGAGGAAGGAGGTATAGGTGGGGTCAGCGCAGAGAACCGTTACTGCGTTACGTCCTCTGTGCTGGTAGGCCACTTTTGGCTCTTTGTCTCTCAGATTCTCAATGCTTTTGAGAAGTTCTCTGACTCTTCTCCTTTCTTCAGTTGGCGAGAGATGCTTCAATTTTGCCAGGAAGGAACAGACTACCGCATGCTTTTCGTAGAATTCGTCTAGGACCGGTAGGTGTTTTTTGAACTTTTTTCGGATATTCCCACACTTCTTCTTCCTCTTTGATGAACTCTGTGGTTACAACCGGTTTCGCCCTTGTTTCTCTTATCATGAAGTTGAGTACTTCCTGACTCGGATCCAGTTGTTGCTGAAGCCTCGATCTTGACACTGTGTTTTGAAAGCTTGTTGCTGTTGAGGTGGATTGAGAGGATGCCATGGTGAGGGGCGTGGTGCAGGTTTTGTGTTTGTTGAGACTGAGTGGCAGGCTGTGAGAGTGGTTGGGTGGGCTGTGTGGTGATGTCAGGGTGGGAGGATGGGTGGTGATAGGGAGGTTGTCGTTCGAAGGAGTGGCAGGTTGCGGTATTTACTATAACCTGCTTTCGAGTTTGGCTGGGATGATTCTTACCAGTTTTGGTAGAAGTACAGAGTTCGAGAGTCCAGGTATCGTTAGTGAGGCAGGGTCGGACTGGGTAGAGAGATTACAGTCCCCAGGCTGGCTGCATGAAATTTGGCTGCAATTTGCCTCCCCACCTGGGGATTTTAGTTTTGATCTGCAGTTGGAAAAAAAATCCTGCAGAGGTTCTGCTTACACTTGGGGCCTGAAACTGGAAGGAAGCTGACGGAAAAAAATTGCAGAGGTTCCCCTCCCCACTTGGGGATCGAGTTTTGAAATGCAGATGTCGATCGACGATGTCCCGCTGACAGGGTGCTGCTTATCGTATGTTGGTCAGGGGGGTTGAAGTAGGGGTGTGCAAAAGGGGAGCCTTTGTGTTCTAATGTGATTAATGCTGATCTGAACACGTGGCCGCTTTTAAATGCCCTGGATGAAATCCCTGGTCCTTGTAGGGGTGTGGAAGCGACAATTCTGAGACAGGATCTGATGGAAAGTGATGACCAAATTCTGCTCTTCGATAGAAAGCACAAAGTCAGTACAAAAAACGGGTAGGAATATTGGAAATAATAATAAGGAAAGTGTCAGTATTAATAATAGGGGTAATGATGTTGAAAATGAAATTTAATCTTGGTGATTTTCTATCTAACGTTTTGCTAATGGTGTGAGTGGTGGGGCAAAAGGTGGGACGTGCAATGCCGGTAGTATCACCATTGGTGGCAAGAGAAAATGAATGTGAATAGCTCTGAAGGGAAAAGTAGTACTTCCACTGACGTGCGGTGGAGGGGGCGGCTGGGGTGTGGGTATTAGGTCTGATCTGGCTGGGCGGGGGTGGGAGAGGATGGCTAATTCAGGAGGTTGGAGTGTGTGTGAGGGGGGGGAGGTCTGATGATCGGGCTGGAGTATCTTGAGTCGAG